CCCCAAAACCCCAAAACCCCAAAACCCCAAGATTCAGATATATGTAATTATTTTAGTGAAATGAGATATCCCATCCTAATCAAGAGATTAAATATTCCAAAATATATAATTATTATTAGCAAATGACTTATCTTGTTAAATAAAGAGGAATCCAAATTCTGAGTGTGGCTGTTCTCGCTCTAGTCTCAAGAATTGCAGGCTAAAATTCAACCTACAAGAGAGGTTTAACTGATCATTTCATTAACTTCCTGGACCTCAAAAGTAACTACTATCCATATGGCTTCAATAGAACTCAGTTCTTTGGAGGGTCATTCGGAGGCAAGGATAACGATTCCACTCCAATTAATAGAGTGCCAGTGGTGTTTGTACATGGTGCAGCTGATATGGTCATTGGCTATGGGTGGGAAAATGATGGTTTTAGATATGATATCGAATATTTCCTTGATCACGGTTACACCAAAGCAGAGATCTATGGATCTTAGTGGGGTTACGCTGATATCCCTAATGAGCTAAACCTTCAACATGATACTGAGTGGGTTCTTCAAATCAGAAGATTCATTGAGGCTGTTCTTGATTACACAGGAGCACCCTAAGTTGATGTAGTCTCTCACTCAATGGGAGTAACTCTATCTAGAGCGGCCCTTAAGGGTGGGTACTACTTCCTTGAGAATATTCAGACACTTTTTTTGAAACCAATCAACAAAAGAATCAGAACATTCATTGGTATCGCTGGAGGAAATTATGGTATTTCTCTTTGCACAATGGAATATTATAAACTTAACTTCCCCATATGTGATACCTAAATTGGTTTCTACCCTGGTGAGTTGGATAACACAACTAACAAGGTTAAGAATCTTTCCAAATTCATGAAGCAGCTTAATGATATTAAGGTTAGAGAGGCAACTAAGACCTATTCAATCTTCTCATTATATGATGCCTCAGTTCTTCCATACACTTTAGATGGAAAATATACCTCAGTATTCCCAGGTATCAATGCAGCTTACATCTATAATAGCTCAGAATACGGTCATCTAGGTGTAAGAGATCTGACTTAGGAGTTCTAATACAACCTTCTTAACAAGCCACATGAGGAATTGCCTGAGACAAATGTTATGATGAAACTAACCTTCGAAACTGAAGAGGAGATTCCAGAAGAAAAGAAAGAACTATTCCTTTATTGATGGTATAGCTAAAATAGACCTTGAAGTCTTGATCTCATAAAATTATACTTAATTTCAATCATTCAATCCAATTTAATACTCATATTGTCATCTTATGGGGTTTTGGGGTTTTGGGGAGATCGGAAGAGC